AAAAAATTGCACTATTCCCATTCAAAACTAGAAGACTTTTTAGAGAGACCTAGAATCTAGAAAATTTTATGAGTTGGAGTTGTGACTGTCAGAGAAAAAAAGGAATATGTGTACGGAGCTAAAAAAATGGTTGGCTTGTCAACATCCACATAATTTTGAATCAAAAAGGCATGAAGATATTTTGAATCAAAAGGCATAAAACTCTTGAACATGAATATCAACATTTGCTTGTAAATTGAAACACAAGAGGAAAACAAATTAGCTTCTGGTATAAACTCAATCAAATATTTTTTCCTAAAAGCACTAGCACGATCCCATATTATACCTAAGTCTCATTATTGACAAAATTCTATAACAATTCAACTTGCTGCTAGTAAATTAATAGTCTCATATATTGCTCCAACACTCAAAATTTGTACGTAACTCCGCTTACGACACCTCCGAGCAGGCGTACAGTTATGCACAAATTTTTGTACGTAGCTTCCCGCGCAAATGTTTCGATAATAACACTCAGTAGAGTCACGTCTACTTAGCTGTACTTACGCTAAACGTTAGCGGCTACGTATACTTAGCATGTTTTGATAATCCGGCCCCTGGTCAATTATTTACAATTTGCAGATATTAAGATAAATTATGCAAACTTTATATTACAACTGTTATTAGGAAGGATAAAATTTTACAGCCCAATGATCGTAAAACGCGCGACTTTACTACCGTTTTGTCGATGTACGCCGGTTGAACCATTTATTTTTCATTGATCGATATACTTCTGAATCAGAATTCCTTGTAGTCGTGCCAGCTTCACTTCACAAATTTTGAAGCCGATTCACTTGAAAATTTTGTGCCGTCACCAGGGGCTGGCGACGGCTGATTTCATATGGGAGCTCAGATTCTACAGCTCTCTGCCGGTCTCAGAGAACTCAGACTCCGAAGTTCTGTGATGCAGAGTCATTCTTCGCGTACCCAATGTTTCAAACGTTTTCTACGGCAACGTAACTAATCGAAATTTTATGAAATCAAAGTTATCGTGCAATACCGCTTCGCCAACTCTCTAAGAAGATTTCGTTAAATAATATCGGCAATTGATAGTGTAATTTGACAGAAGCACGATTCTTCTTTTGTACACAAAACATCATAAATTACGAATTAAACTGTTCAGATTATTAGTGAACTAGAATCAATAATGACTTCCATGTGAGTCAACCTGATTAATTAAGAACTAAGTTTAGAAAAAAATGCATGACACTCATCAAATCACATTTAAATTGCTGCAATAATTTAACTACAAATGTGTGAGGGTTTGATTTGGCGAGCACTAAAAATCGATAATATGCTGTCATTTCTGAAAAAAATTATTTAGGAATTCACATTCACTAATTATTTTCTCCAATTTTGAATATGCATACTAATACTTCAACGTTTCAAAATCTCATTCTACCTCCCGCATTTTATATTTTATCTTCCGAATTTTTTCAACCCCGTTGTTAACATGCATATCTCAGCGAATGCGAAATAAAAGTGAATAAAGGGTGGAACGAAGCGAACCATGTGGGTGGAATGCATTTTTTTTAAATATAATCATTCCATACATCTCATCAATGTTTGGCGACGTTATTCACTAAAACTTCTCAAGTTTGTGCAACCTCAATTTTTTGCTTCTCTTTTTTTTTTCTAGAACAACAAATCACGTAGGATGCCACAATTAATATAACGCCATTATCTGAGGGAATTCCTGTTATAAAAGCAAGGTCCTTATCTTAATTGTGATGAAAAAAACTTAGACGGTAAATCACTGATTTCATTTATAATCAACTATAATCATTTCATTTATAATCAATCACTGACACCTATAAGTCATGAACTATAATAGCAGAAGCTGCACTGACTGTCTACAATAAAAATCACAGAATGCTTCTCTTTTCGCTTTTCAACAAGAAATTAAAGCAAAACGAGGCACATTATCTGAACTCGAAGTATATAACTTCTTCAATTCCACTGTAGGTGAAATATTCTATCAATTATTACTATGTAGAGAACAAAATGGGTAACAAATTTTTATAACGAAATGATTTCAAGATAATTGTGCAAACGAACACATTAGTACACGTGAACTCAATAATTGCTTGTCTCAAAGCAAATCCACGAATATTAAATTGGCAAACACTGATTGGAATTTTAAACAAATCGAGATTTTTATGTAAGGAATGTTTAAAATGTCATGCATGTTCTCAATGAGCAACCATCAACAGACTAATTTAAGTCACCAGAAAAAGTTTTGCCTAATACAGGAGCCACTAGCTGTTTGATATCAAGGAAAGAAAGTTTAGGCTTACCAACATGATGACTTCGAAAGTTAAGTACAAAGCTGAGTTATCTAACAAAACAATATAAAGTTTTCTATAAAAGTAATGAATTTTCCATATAATTTCATTGATCTCACTCAATTCTGAGAGGAATTGAAGTTAGGCAGAAAATGGAGTAACGGAAAATCGTGCATACGGCACACCTCATAACATATTTTACAACTCCTTGCGTGAATTGCGATAAAATTCCGAGCGTATATAACCTTCTCTGGCAAGAAAAAACGGCGATTAAATTAATGTGTATAGAATCTACGATGTTTTCACCTTCGTAAACTGAGTTACGAATGCATTATTGATAATCAAAGACAGTCGGGTACTTTTTTTCTGGTAATCGTTGCAGGTAGTTTAGTGTTTCGTTTGATGATGATGCTCATTACATCGCCATTCAAACGAATGCCAATCGGCAGTGAAGTTAATTCGGCCAGCTTAAGGGATGTGACGTCTGTCCATACTTCGGTCGTTGTTGAGCATGGCTGCCTGAACAGCAGCACCGTACGCAACAACTTCCTCGGGATTGATCGTCCTCTTGATTTCCTTGTTTTGGAATTTTTCTTCAAGCATTTTTCCGAGCTTGGGAATCCAAATTAAACCGCCAACTATGATTACTTCGTGAATTTCGTTGGTTTTCAGTCCGGCATTGACAATCGCTCTGTCCACACACTGCATAGTTTCTTCAAAAATGTCTGCGCAAAGTGATTCGAACATGAATCGGTATATAGTGAAGATAAAATCTTGCCCTTGACTCAAGCAATCAATATGAACTTTGTCCATCGCTCTAACTGACAAGTTGATCGTTGTCTGTTCGGCAGCTTTGGTAATTTTTGCTTGAGCGTTTATATCGTTTGAAACATCCAGCCCCGTTTTATCCCTGAATTTGTCGATCAAAAATTTTCCAACGCGACAGTCTATGTCCCGTCCCCCAAGTTGGCTATTTCCCTCAACAGATTTGACTTCGTAGTTACCTTTCCTCCTTTTCAGAACCGCTACATTGAAAGTCCTGCCGCCAAAGTCGAAGACCAGAATGTTGGTCTCATAGGCGACGATCGTGTCTATCCCGTACGCAATGGCGGCAGCGGTTGGTTCGTTGATGATTTTCAGTTCCTGGAAACCCGCAATGATACCAGCATCGATGGTAGATCTCCGTTGGGAATCAGTAAAGTACGCTGGTACAGTAATAACCGCTTTCCTCACTTCACATCCAAGATATTTTTCTGCGATTATTTTCATTTTGGACAGCACCATCGCAGAAATTTCTTCTGGGGTGAAAAATTTCTCGTTTTTGAGATATTGAACGCAGATTTTGGGGTTGCCTTTATCGTTGACGACGCGGTATGGCCAGTGAGCGAGTTTCGTCCGCACTGCTTCATCGCTGAACTTGCGTCCGATGAGTCTCTTCACTTCGTATACCGTGTTGGCAGGATTCATGGTGCGTTGAAGCTTGGCCGACTCACCAATAAGTCGTTCCTCGTCAGTGAACGCCACAAACGACGGCGTGAGGCGACTACCTCGCTCGTCGGCGATGATCTCCACGCGCCCGTTCCTGACGACCCCCACGCACGATTTATACGTACCCAAGTCGATGCCAATAGCGTAGTCATTCTTCGACACCATCTTGAATTTCGCTGTGACGGCCTGGCCAATCTGAAATTATTGCTTGTTTTTAATTTGAATACGTTCTCAGGGGTGATATTTTTAAAAGAAATTTTATGTGACTAGGACAATTAGTCTCGTTGGCACTGTGGATGCGCTCAACATAAAGCAATTGAATATGAAGTGCAATATCGGCCACTTGCTTCATTTCAGATCAATTTGTAAACATTAGCATTTGATAATACATGCAGAATAAACAACGAAATTTGATAATAAAATAATTCCAACTTCTGAATCTCTGCAATTTTTTAGTGAAAATTTATGACTGAGTTAGGAAAAGCAAGTCCATCTAAACGTAAGTTCTTGGCAGTCAGAATCAACAGGTCACCATTTCCTTACCACGCTAATCTGTTCACTGTGTCTCATAGAACCCCTAATGCACAGTTTGAAATTCCTTCGTACTCCAGTGTTAACAAATTGCGGTGATAATTCACAAAAGTTTCAAACCTTACCGTCTGTATTAGCAACAGAAATGATAAAATATTAATACTTTTGACATAAAAAATAATACTGTCTTGCCAGTTTAAGCGTTGCACACACTTGAATACTTGCTTCCTCAAGTTTGGCTTTGATTTCCGTTACAACCGGAAACTTTTCGTTTTCCATGTTCTTCGCGTGTAGAAAGAGTGGGCTTCTCCCTTGAAATAAAAGTGATTTTTATCTAAGCTATGAATATTGCGGGATGATGTTTTGAGGAGGGCCGAGGAATTGTTACCGTTATCTACATAGGCTTCAAGTGCTTCCTTCCAAAATTTTGAGGGTGGTTAGCTTCTGAATTGAAGACGTCTTTAACTCGCCCTGCGCGTAAATTAGCGGCTATATGTCCGCTTTACGAGTTGATTCCCAGTTAAATTTTAAGGGGACCGTCTACCCTAAAATTTCAAATTATGGCGTTTTCCGGTTTTTGTGCTCATCTTAAAGCTTACTTTCTGACGCATCGAACGGTACCAGAATCATCCCTCTACGTCGAAAAATGATTTCGTGACAGCTCCCTAAAGGGGGGCAGTTTCGAGGCCCCTTCAGTGAAGTCTATAGGATTAATTAGAAGGCTGGACACACTAAAAAGGAACGTCTGACGTAAAGCAGCTAATTACCCGGTGCTTATACTCATTTTAAAGCTTACTTTCTGACGCGTCGAACGGTATCAGAACCATCTCTCTACCTGCATTTTGACGTGCAAGACGCGTTTTCTATCAATTTTTTCGAAAAATTCATATGAAAAAAATGTTATTTTTTACATTTTACGTATGTATGTGAAGTTTCATGATGATCGGATAATAACTGTAGAAGTTTTTCCGGAGGGTAGACGGTCCCCTTAAGGCCGTTGCGCGGCGTGGAGGGCGATTATGAGCGCGGAACGGCAGATTGGCCGCTTCTCTCAAATCTCGGCGATATTGCGCTCGTTGGCGGGAGGCGATGGACGGGCCGCTTTGCGACCATCGGCGATAATTCGCGCGAGATTTTAAGGTTGTTCACAAACGAGGGGCCGCCTGCTACTTACGACCATGTTTTGGCTGCTATACATATAATCGATTCCTCAATCGATCACGTGCGTGCGTAAGTGGGTGTTCGAACCTAAACTTAAAATTTGACATCCACTCCTATTGAACAAAAGACCGTTGCTGATATCGTATACCGATATTTACACTGAGATATTGCATTTTACGCATCTCAGAACACTGCCATTTTCTTGTTAAATGGAATACTTCAATCTGACAAAAAAATGTGAGATCAGTTCATAATAAATTAAAATTATTTGAATGCTTACAGTTTGACTAAAAGCTCGTTCTATTTATGATTATTTTATAGAGGTTCGCTCTAAAACAGCCGTAATCTGATATTCATTTAGAAATAACTTTTCTCTCATAATTTGATTCGAGAATATTCTGAAAGTTTGGTGAAATTATATGTATAAAAAACAAATTTCTTTAGAATTTAACTGATTTGAGATGATTTAAACTCCAAATACAACTCCATTTAGTAGTCAAATCATTCAAGGTAATAACTTTTGCTGATTTAATTTATTGGAAAGTAAACATGTCTTCACCGATAAAATCCCCATTTCGATTTTTATAAAAGTTTTACATTTAATTTTCGCGAGTATGTTCATGGGTAAGGCCCTTTCTCCATCATTCATTGCTCAAACAATCCTGCCGGGATGCACGTTGAATAGCTAAATGCTCAAATATTCTGGAATTTTTCATTATATTCACCTTTTCCCTACATTAAATTTCATTATAAACGAATGATGTTTACACATTTTGAACACGAGCGTGCTTATTATCAAACTTTATGTTCTTATTCGGTATCTCCATGGCTGGGATGTGCTTTTACACAACAAATCTTTGAACCAATTACAAGAATAGAAACGTAATCAGTTTATTATGGCAACATTCCTTGCATCATTGGTTTCGTTGCGCATGTTAAGGATAACGCTTCTTGTTCTTGCCATGTGAATCGGACAATCTTGGCTGTTCAGAGTTTTTTAGACGTCACAGTGGACATGAGTGATTGCTGAACTATTATCTTAATCTATTAGAATTAGATCCTAGCATTCCCTTCATTATATATGTAATATATTCAGCCGCTTGGTACCGACGTTCAAGTACCCGTTGCAACTTCACTTCTCGAGAGCCTGAGCCGTAGTCTCGCCATTGGCATTACTCATTAGTCCTTGCGTCGCAGAACTGCAACACCAGTGGCCTATGGTCCGTGGACAATGCTAGTGTGCATAGTGGCAATACAGAGTTATTTAGGCTCTTCCTCAAGTTCATTTTTGAATCCTATAAGTAAACCAGTAAAGAATCATGGGTACCAGCATTATTTTACATAAAAAAGCTGCTTATATATACATCTTGAGTAGATGAAGAAATTAAAAATTACTGATTTTAAAAAATCTGGTTTATCACTATGGGGCTGTGCACCTGTGGTTATCTACTACCAGGAATGGTAGATGTTATATTACAGAGTTCATACCTTATATCAACCTGGTAAGTGTGAATGAGAAATAATTGTTGATAATTGATATAAATTTTTCTGTACTTTCATGAAAGCCAGACAAGTATTAATTCTGTTCAGAATATTTGATCTTGAATATTGATCTGGCATCTGCTGAAAAAAAAAGAGAACTTAGGATTTAGGAATTGGCCTTGAGTGTCTTGGTGGCGGGCCAAGGTAGAATTGTAGTAATTGTTGATTTTGCTCATGCATTCAAGATTGATCCAGCCTGGTTTCTTGATCAGTTCCACTTTTCCAAAATATCTGCTGAGAGCCTGAGTATGAAATGAAAAAATTTGGTTTATTATTTTTGGATCCAATGTCATATGTGCGGCTTATATTCGCCTGTTCATTACTTAATAAATATAAGTTATATGTTATGCCTCCTGATTCCTGAATCCACCTTGTTGAATAAATGAATAATAATTTTAATATAGTAATTGATGATTTGATTATTGATATGATTGAGTTGTAACTTGTAAGCAAGACAGGATTTTACTTATTCAATATTCATTAAATTTTCATTAGAAATAACTAGGAACTTTGTTCTATCAACTTCTATGAAGTACCAAATTCATTCATCTTCAGCATGTCAGACCGTCAGATCGCTCAGATGACCCATCAAAATTTGATGTGATGATGACAAAACACCAAATTTTGAATAGGTAGATACATGGCTGCAATACTGGAAAAAGCATTCATCAACTGGTTGTCTAGCATATCATTGGAGATGAATTAAAATGTAAAAATAAAAGGAAGTGATTTGAAAATTTTAACTCCTTCATCTCCAAACGGGAAAAGGGCTAAAGAGTAATAAACCTGAATTTCTTGTTTGGAGAACCCAGACCCATGCCTGGGCAGCCTGGCTTAATAATTCAATCATTATTGGCTATAGATTGTAATAAATACAAGCAATGTCTATGTCCAAGGATTTGTCAGAAAATTGCCTATCAAGCTGTCAGCTACAGGCCTTCTTAAAATTTTTGATATCCTAGTATGAAATCTCATTAATGGTGATTTTTCACTAGTCACTTTTCCAAAAACTTTCCAATTAAATCAGAGATCAAGCAAATTCTCCATTATGATACAGAATGTTGTTTATAGGTGCAATTTTTGTAAAAATTTAATTTTAATTGGTAGCAATTTCAGTATAGATATGAAAAGCTGTTGTTTTCCATAAGACACCAACAAATTATTGTTTTATTGACATTTTTGATGAACTTCATTGGATTTTTCTCATCCGTTTAAATAATATAATAATTCACATTACCTCTTAGTAATATTTTTCTTATCTCTCAAATAAAATATAGTCACAGCTTTATATAAAATATAGTCACAGTTATAATAAAATATAGTCATGCTCTAGAGTCTAGCCAGTTTGATGCATATATCGTCTAGTTATTGATGAATAGTTTGAATAATATATGAAAAGTAACCTCCTGGTCACAATTTCTCAGTAAGTGACTAAGTAGATATAAATATGTGCTGCTTAGAAAAGGACATACCTGGCATTGCTTTAAAATTCCATGAAGAATTGTTTGCTCACATATATACATTTTGACAGTTGCTACTCATTGGTGAATCATTCAAAATATGTTGGTCAACTTCCAAGGTAACACCAATAATAATGACAGGTCCATAATAGTTAAAGTCCATATAATTGAATTGTGATTTCAAATTACTTTCCTGTCCATACTTGATTGTATGATTCATTTTTAATTTGCTAGTATATGCACTTGTTTTCTCATTTATTTCTATTCCAGACTGCTTCTCAATGACAGATAATAACAGGAAGCCATATCCTGACATTAGAAGAGGTGTCGTCATGAAGCCTTAATGTAAGCTGTAGCTCCTGTTGCTGCTACTTTAGGGTCTGTTTATTTTTCATCTGGTAATGGTGATGCTTCAGCACCTTATAGCACCTTATATTCTGCAGTTCATGATATGGGCGTTAGAGCTCAGCTGCTCCTGGTATTGAAGGTGGCAGTTCTTCA